AGCAGAAACTTTTCGCTCATTCATTTCCCGGATACGGAAGCTTATACCACAGAAGAGATCTTCAAGGGGATTTGCAGATACCGCTTCCATTAGAAGATTACTGCATCGGTCCTATTTCTGCACGGCAGTTCTGGCACGGCGATCGAAGTGCAACTAAGATCGATCGTGGTCCCTGTGAGTTGGTTCTGAGGATTCCTATAGCTGGAAAAACATCTTACCATTGTGACAGGGCTCTCGCCCAACGATTGCTTTACATCCGCTGCTCGCCGAGTGACCGCCTGCATATTGCAACATGCAAAACCCCGACCACGAAGTACATCTACTTCCTACCACTCAGATATCGAACCGTCGGAATATACCTCACTCCTCTCGGAATTCCTGAAACTTGCCCCTTCGTTGGTACCAACAAACCCAGACCATACTTCTCCCATTCTGCGACATCCGGACTTGAATCTGAACAACATCTTGATAGCGCCCAATTCCGCAAAGATTGCTAGTATCATAGATTGGCAGGATAGTATCATCTTCCCGCTCTTCATGCAGGCAGGCTATCCAGCCTTTTGCGAGCATGATTCGTCGAAGACTCAAAGCTTACAGATTCCATCCCTCCCAGATACTTTTTCCAATATGAGCATCGAGGAACAGATGGAAGCAAAAGCTGAATTTCGTTCCGAGGAAGCAAATCTCTACTCCACAGCAGCTACTGGGTTGTATAATGATATCCACTGGAGCACCTTGAAGATCCCGTACCTTGGCATGCGACACTATCTGTATCAACAAACAGGGTACCCTTGGGATGGAGATGTCATTAACCTTCGTGCTGGTCTTGTTGCTATCACAACATCGCACGTCTGGAGTAACATTACATCGGAATGCTGTCCGGTGACGTTCTCTGATCAAGAGCGACGGACAGCAATGGAGGAGTCAAATGAGTGGAATGAGTCCGAGGAACTCCTAACTATCATCAGGAACGACTTAGGTATTGACCCCGAAGGTGGTACAGAACCTGCGAAATTTGAGTGGGCGTCTCGGAGGAACTTGGAATACAGATTAGAGATGCTGCGGCAGGCTGAGGAGGATGAGCGTGATATCTGCTGGCGGAACTGGCCCTTCAAGGACGATACGGATTTCTCTTCTCCGCCGTTAGTATCATAATAATGTGAGGTAGAAAGAGACAGTCGCGCGACTATTGCAACGTGGAAACTGGTGTGAGATGAAGATTTTCCCTATGTCTCAAATACCAAGTATGTCAGGTTCACCTGACTCTAATCAAAGGACAGTTAATGCATCCACTGGAGCACTTATGCTACTTATATTGATTCTGTTCAGTATAATTTGTGCGCACAAGCATTATCTCTCTCTAAAAACAAAATTATAAAATAGAAAAACATACAACAGAAGGGATTCGCTGGTGGTCACCCACCCAACTACTAACCTCCCGGCGTGTGGCTTGAGTACGGCTGAGCGGACGGGAAGCCCTATTTTCCACACCCTGTGGTCGTATGTGCTTATTATATCTTTGATCATTCTTATATGCGACCTGTTGAAAGAACAAAGGCCCTGCGTGACAAATTGAGCTTTAGTAGAGTACTGTGAATGTACACATGCATGCTTTGAGTTCCGTCTGAGTTGCGCGACACCCCCCCTTCTTCACTGTATCTTGTCCGTAGCAGAGATATGGTCTCTAGTGATAGGGAAATACATGCACATCATGATATTCTCATGCTCTAACTTGAAAATCTACTTCGCTGAGATATATAGTCCCCAGTCCGTGTATTTATCTCCCAATTACTTAACAAAAACGTTACTTCCACTCCCAACCCACCGAATCGACCATACCAATCATTGATGGAGCTGGAGATGCAGGAACATTGTCAGAATGTCCGTGTTTTATCGAAAAACGTCTGAACGCACTCTACTAATCCGGTCAATTAGGATGCTGATTCCTCAGAAGAGACAATCACCGTTGTCATTGACCAGCATATTATCGAACAACAGTCCGATAGTAATAGAAAAATTGTGCACCTGAAGCAGCCACCAAGTTGTATTGCAATAGGCTACTCCGGATACATTTGCAATGCCGACCAAAATACCATCATTAGACATCCAAGGTACCATCCCGACAACGAGCCTTACAATCAAATGTACCGCGATATGATCAGCACGGAGAGGCAGATCTACGAGCGCCTGGGAAGTCATAAAGGGATTATTCCCTACTTAGGTGTTCATGACCATTCCACGGGCGCAATAAAGCTCGCATACACACAACAAGGAGATCTTGAAAACTATATTCGAAACGACGATAAGCCGTCTGAAGTAATCCGGGCCTTATGGATTGAAACAATTGTCGAGACATTCTGGTATATCCATTCTCGCAAGATTCTCCAGCAAGATGTCAAGCCCAACAACATACCTGTTCATAATGAAAGCCCAAAGGTCGCTGACTTTGGTAATGCTGAAATATTTGCGTTGGATGCTAATATGAAGGCTATCTACATGAAAGATCTCTTTTCGCGAGTCGACATACTCGGCATTGGATACATCATCTAATCAATCGCAGCATGGCGTGCCTTCTGGTATGACTACTTTGAACAGTATCGCTGGCCGGAATCGAAAGATCTCCCTGTGATAAGTGGATTGCTTTGTGAGGATATTATCAGGAAATGTTGGAGTGATGGTTATGAGAACATGCAGTCGCTGTATGAGGACTTCAGTTCTGTCACTAGCACACACATGTCGTCTGCGGAGGAAGGATAATCGATGTTTATTCAGGTCCTAAGTATGTAGACCTGTGGCACAACTCAAGATATCTGCCAGAATCCTTGAAGCATATTGCATAGACCAGATTTACTATCATTTTTTACCTAAGCACCCCACAGTCTGTTCGCTTAATATAGTAACGTAAACTCATCATGTATCTATATCAAACTTTCCCTCGCCTAGAATACCAGCGCAATTGATGATTTGCCCTAGAGCCCCAAGGATGGACTACTCAAGCACCACAGTATCGCATCATCCACTGTGCTATGCCATCGTTCAATCAACATCCATCATTTCACTATCCTCTGGCTCCGGCAATGGTGCGAACGATATATCCCGCGCTTTCGGTCTCCAAAAGCGTCTCTCCTTAGCCCTCAATGGCCGAGGCCTATCTGGCTGTTGGTCGCGATCAAAGTTCCAGGTGCGAAGCACCCAGCGCAAAAGCATAATCCCATGGAGAAGATCATAGGGATCCAATTTGAAAGGATTTCTCTCTCCAGGGATGTATTGGTAGGTGTGACGGAACATTGCTGGTTTGATCCTGGCCATTTCATGTAAAGTCCAGATCGCAGTGATCCCGATAACATTGCTCATCGTGACCTTATCCCAGTCCACTTTGGGAGGTTCGGTGTCATCAAAAATTGATATATAAGACATGTCTTGGGACCAACCAAATAGCTGCATGTCAATAGTCAGAATGTCCCTTGCGTCATCCTGGGCCCTCTTTGAAGGCTTCATGCAACCGACAAAGTCCTCGAGGATTTTCGTCATCCGTGGGCCGCTTCGGTAGCACAGGTCCCATATCTCTGTGGTGTCCTTCATGCCCCAGGCTCCGGCGAGGAGTTCATCATCTGAGCTGAGCTGCTTTACATAGCCTGCGGTGTAGTTGACACCTTCGATCTCGTTGTATCTTTCATCTTCGAGAGAGGGGAGTGGGGAGTTGTGAATGCTGCTCTTTAGGTCTATGAGATATGAGATATTAGTTGATGAATGTAGGCTGTGTGAATATGGGATACGCCTTTGATTCTACAGGCAATATCGAGTCCAGGAGGCACTTACTGGTCATGATTCTGACCCTTGATGTGGTGGACTTGCCCACAGATGAAATAACTTGACGATTCTATTAGAGGGACTCTGTCATGTACATATGTTCGACAACTGGCTCTCTTCCTTATATGTTACCTGGGCTAGAGGAAAACCAAACTGCTGTCAGACTACATCGGGTATTTCCTTCACTTCGTTGTAGCATGGATGCCGGCGGTAATACGCGCATGACAGTAAGCCACCCCGTCATTCAATGTGTAACCTTGTCCTATTCTTTAGGAGAGGTAGAATTACATGTAATGTTGGAGTTTCCAGTTATACAATAAAATCTTGCGTGTCTTATATGTGGAATATTAAGGTATTGTCTGAATATGTTTCAGGCTAGTTCCGATACTCGAGGAGATTTGCACACAGAATTGACCCTTGAGGCGCAACCATCTTCTTGCGCATCACTCTTGATGTACTAACTCTTGGGAATAAAATATGAACTACTGTTTATACCATTAATGCACCAGATGCTCTTTCTCACAAGTAATATTTCTTTTCTAGCGAGTCCGTTCAATTACTAGTACGGGATTTTGTCACTCAAGTTTCTTTGTTCTCCTTTCGCTACTACAAGAAACACCATTCTTAAGCATTCAGAACCTATATTGTAGATATATTAGAGAAGACTTAGATTTGCAGGAACATTTCTCTCGGCCTCATGAGGTTGTTTATATCCAAGGATAAATAGAAGTATCTGTTGAGCTCTGTCTCGCTAAGCGGACAAATATATTTTGAACGGTAGGTGCAATATAACGATAGACAAAATCGTTATCGAACGAAGCATCATATATCATAGACAACTTAGCTCCTACTAAGGTTGATTCTGGTATATAGAGCGTCCTCTCATTCAAGATAGCCTTACTTTGCTACTACCTTCTTGCTTTTCTCAATCGCGGCAAAGAAAACTTCCAAATTCGGACTTCAGCTTAAAAATAAACCCTCCACAGATTTTTCTTTCTAATTAACCAACTCATTGTACTCAACGGCAATTAGGATAAATCTCAAAAACCCCTTGTGACCAAAGGGATGTATTCCCTCATGATTTGCTGATCGGAACCCATGAATATCTGTGTGATCCTGGAAACAAAGTTGTCCAGATGCTGGTTGATCCAGCTTTCAACACCACCTAGAATATCCCATAACCAAGAGAGCGAGGATTTGATTGCATCAAATACCTTTCAGAATCCGGTTTTGATACCATCCCAGACTTGCGAACACACGTTACAAATATATTGCCAGAACCCCTGATCTTGGGGTGAACTATCATTGGACGGCTCATCGTCAAATGAATCATTGTCGAGTAGTCCCTCTTCAGACCGTTCATTATCAGACCATTCTTCATCGTGCGCGCCTTCCTCAGACGATTCATCGGGATATGGGTCATCATTATATGAGTCCTCCTCTTTTGGACCATCAGGATGCTCCCACGTGTCTTCAAAAGAACCGAACAACTTCCCTTTCAATAAAATCCATTCTTCTTCCATTCGCTTCCTCATATCAGGCGTGATGCGCGAGAGCCCGAGGGGAGGAACATCCTTATTGCGCTTCCTTGGCTTGGAGCCCTCATGTCGTGAGGAGCCGGATGCCCACCCAGACATGAAAGGGTCTCTAAGGTAGCATGTCAGTGCATGACTATATGACACCTTCGGTTAGCTTGTAACACTCGATGGAGACTAACTCATTCATATGCATCTTTGGCGGTGTAGCCCGGGAATCTGTGTTTTGGTAATCTTCGTTGTGGCGTGCAGGATGTGCATCGGGCCCCCTGGAAATATCATGACATCCTTAGAGCGGAAGAATATTCCGGAGGAATGAATATGTATTCCTTCAACATGACGATGTTTGCATAAAATGGCTAATCGTAGGTAACATGTGTCCAATCCAGCAGGAAGAGAAGGAGACATGAGAACATAACTCTTTTCTGAGCAGTTGCTCGCTGCTGAGTGACTTTGAGGCTGTGCATGGTTAACCATTCAACAACAATCAAAAACCGATACTGTAAATCCTTTCAATCTTATCTCTATCCCCGGCTACACTGCTACTTTACAATAGCCCCTTTCAAATGAAATTTCTTTTTTGGTCTCTCACTATTGAAGAAATTGCGGTTTTGACATTCATCACTTCAACTTATCGATTCTGCAGATCTATACACCAGAATTTAGCGAGAGAATGCAACTCTCTTATGCCAATTATGGACTCGAAGGAGGTTAAAATGGTGAGTCCTTCTTTAAAGTCAAGCATTGACCTCCACATCGAGTAAAGGAGGAATATATATCAAGCCCTGTCCCTCGAGTTCGATAAAGACATTCTTTGCTGCTGGTAGGCCATGTGAACTATGCTTGGCAGACTGTATTTTCATTGGATAATTGTACCAGTAAGTTATATACCATGGGTACGGAGTTTATTAATTGTGCGATATACGGGCCGTTTTTGGAAACGCAAAGAACACCAACTATGTCATGCATTCAAGCCAAGAGCTATGTAGATCGTTCTTTAGTATCATTGCACGATTATCAGTGATCGAGATAATGTCTATTTAACTGGTTATTGCGTCCGAGAAATGTCTTGATCAGGATCTGCCAAGAGGCCGCCAAACTGTAGACTGGATCCGACCCGCGTTCAGGGTGTAAGCTGCACGCATCATCCGGACTTTGAGCTTATCTCCGTCACTTGCCATCAGAAAGCATCATAGACCACCAGTATATAATGACTATAAACAATAGCGTATCCAACACCCCAGGATCACCGTTCCCAAGCATTTGCCTAGTACTGTACCCCAAAATCAAAATCGTCATGTCTGTCACCCTTCCCTCCACCGCAAACTGGGTCTCTCCCCTCTGTCTCGGCGCCATGACCTTCGACACCGGACATAGCAAGCGCTACAGACACTGCACGAAGGCCAACACATGTGGCATACCGGGTCTCTTTTGCAGCAAAAGTGGCAGCTTTATAGATACGGCAAATAATATCGGTATGGACAAAATATATCGTGAAATCTAGATCTTTACTATTAGATGCACTCTGTAGAGCTCCCAGATATGGTTCTATCCTGCAAAATTCATAACAACTTGACCACCGCGTAGACAAAATGATACGGTTTCTTCCTGTTGGAACTGCTGTCCTGCAAGTGCCAAATGATTCCAGGCTCAATTACATTATCATGTCCCTAGAACAACCCAATAAACAGATACCCGGAGTTAAGAGACCCTCGACCCACTCCATCTCCATTGGCCCCACCAGCGGATTGACTGATAAACGAGCCAATGATAACCGAAGTGTAAGCGTCTTGCGCATCTATTTAAGAGCCACATGTCAGCCTCGCCCCGTGTAGAAAGTGGTAAGGTCAGACCACCCCTCCCTTGTGCCATAGAACTTTCCGAATGCAGCTGCAACGGAGATCACAGCCCGCAGCGGCCGCTGCTCCCGAGGATAACTGGAGCGGAGTGAGCAATCGGGCTATACGGCGCCGAGTGCAGAATCGCCTCAACCAGAGAGCCTATCGTGAGGACCTAGAGCCCAGCTTTGCGCAATATAGATGCTGGCACCTTTTTTACTGACAAATAATCCTCTCCTCTACTCAGGAGCACGCCAACGGAAAGATGTCCAATCATCGGGAGCCGCAAACAATATCCACAACCTATCATCATTGAGCTCTCCACATCCTCAAAGCCCGCTTCCCCCATCGGGCGCAATTACATGTAGACTATCCAGAGACGAGCATTTCCGATGCACATTTGCCCCTCCCAATGTCCACGAGCTGATGGCCGACTTTGAAACCGGGGCTTTGCACAGCTACCTTGGCGGATCACCACAGACCGACATGCTACTGAATCTAAGCAGGATGAATGTGCTCCGGGCAGCCTACCAGAATGCCATTGCGTTAGGCATGACCGCCGAATGGCTATGCCAGGATGATACAATATCCATTTTCTCCAACCATGGTCCCTATGTCGTACCGAGGAATCAGGTCAGCATTCCCTACAGTCTACGCCCAACAGCCCTGCAGCGTGCGACTCCACATCATCCGTGGCTCGATGTCTTTCCGTTCCCGTGCATGAGGGACAATCTTATCCAAGCAGGCGATGATCTTGATGATGATGAACTGTGCCATGATATGACGGCTTTCTGGGATACGCGTAGCAGTAACGCCACGCTCCTCGTATGGGGAACACCCTGGGATCCTAAGAATTGGGAGGTTACTGAGGAATTTGCTAAGAAATGGGGGGTCTTTCTTCGAGGGTGTCCGGAGATTCTCCGTTCAACAAATAGTTGGAGGGCCAGGAGAGGCGAGAGGCCTTTGGTATGGGAACGCATCTTTGCTTCGATTGATATATAAGCATGTAACTGTAATGGTGAAAGGTTGATGAACTTTTATTATTCCATTGCTAGCTACGTAATTTGCTTTTCTTGATTTTGAGCGTCCATTGACCGATTGGGACCCTTATCCATACTTGAAATCAGCCACTATCCTACAGTAGCTGGTTCTTAGGTACTGGTTTTTGTGAGATCCTATTATATGCAGGGGGATCTCGGCCCTGATGTCGCAGCAACGGCTTTGGCACCCGGAGAGGCGCTCCATTGGGCTCTGAAGTGGAGAACGCTATCTGCTTACAGTTTCAACCCGATTGGTCGATGCTTGCAGTAAACTAGATCAATGCTCTGAACGGCGGCTGCACCTTGCTGACAATTTTGCTCTTATTGGCTGAAATATCAGCATCAGATTTACAAGTGGGTCGTGAATCATAGTGCGTTCCAGGTTTGTCGGGCAACTACATAACCAGTGATCATGATACTGGCGTTCTATCCTGGAAGCCCATCTGTCTCGAATAAGAGTCACTAAATCAATCCAAATACTAAAAGAGGTATTGCTTAGTAGCATCAGCAAAGTACATCCCAGCAGCTCTGATGATATTGTCGCCAACAAGTGCGGAGCTCGACGTGTTCTGACCTGTATACAACTTGCCGTTCTCTCCACTGGTGAGAACCTTGACGCCAAAGCGGCCAACGGCCTTCTCATAGATTCCTCCATACTTGCGTAGTTCCGTCTCCAGCAAGAAGGACATATCTCGACTAAATTGAATAATGTCTTCCTCCACATCAGAGATGCCAATGAAATTCTGTTCTGCAATCAAGTAGGTCCCATTCGATAACTTGACATTGGCCAGGGCAGCAGGACCATGGCACACGGCTGACACGACTTTGCCGGCCTCTAGAAATCCCGCACCTTTGAATGGGAGCTAACTTACGACCGTGACCACCAACACAGAATATCCCTGCAAACTCAGACGCCTTACCCAACAAGGTGTCGAGCTTTGCTGTGTTCTTCCAGACACTGGAATTCTCCTTCAGAAAGACCACGCATCCTGGATCCTCTTTTGTTGCTTCAATCGACTGGGGACTTAGGAGTGCTTCATCGCCAACAGCAGACGAGACCATGATATCAAAAACGGGCGCCAGTTTGTAGTAGGAATGAACTAGCTATGAAAGATACCATCCGATGGGCGTGCCTCGACTTGAGAGAATGTTCTAGGAAGAGAGGACGAAGATGAACTTTTGTTTCAGCAGCATGGTAGTAGTTCGTTTCTTGCTTATGCTTGAAGTCTCGGGTCAAAGGACAAGAACTAACTGATCAAGGAGGATATGTTCGGTGGATTCACATGCATTTGTTTAATGACGCCCAGTCATATTACGGTATATTTCCGGACACAAATCTAGAGTAGGCCTTGCCACTAATTATTCTCCATATATTTAGTGGAACCTTGAATGAATGACTAGAAATAGCCGGAAGTCTACGAAAAGTCAGTAAGCTTACGGACTTAGCGGATGTAAATCACCCCAATGGCAAGGATGAAACCTACATAAGACTGACCTCGCCCTTCAGTCAGAAGGGTTAAAATACCCAACTTCCTTAGTAACATTTCGTACCCCAGAACACATTAGCTCTTGGAGAGTCTTTCATTCACAAGTCTCCATCAACATGACTTATACAATCACCGTCGTCTTTCCCAACGAGACCGATGCCCAATACGACATCGATTACTACACCAATGTTCACATGAGGCTAATTGAGAAGCATTGGTCAAAGTACGGTCTGAAGAGCTGGTCTGTCACCAAGTTTGGTCCGTCCTTGGATGGTACAGCCCCTGTGTATGCCGTTGGTAGCCGAGTACACTGGGAAAGTGAGGAGGGGATGAAGAGAGCATTTGAGAGCCCCGAGGTCGCGGAGGTTATGGGAGATGTTGTTCACTTCAGCAACAAGCAACCTATTTTCCTGTTTGGAGAGACTGTACAGCCTTCTCCCAATCCTTGAGCCCTCGAGATAGGTATTTGCCCGATAAGAGTATCTAGGGTTCGTCGTGACTCATTGATTACAGGAGTGCTTCTTCAGTGATTCAGCACGTTATCCTTCATATGGTACGTTTCGGATTGATTTCTGAGGTTGCTTCCAGCTGATATTTACAGAACGAGCGTCAGCACCGTCGTTCACTTTCCCTATTTCTCTAAGATTAGCTTGACATCTGGTGTTGCTTTACATGAATGAAAGGATGGTCGTTTTCTACACAGGCCGCCCGCCTTCGGGGTATATGGAGGGTACCTTAACTACTAGAACTGGAACAAACTTCGAGATATATCGTACTACTACATTATCATACGTTTGACTTTTCAAACTCCTAGATTTGAGCAGGATACAAGCCAACTCAGCAAAAGGCAATGTGTTTGTGTACATAGTAGTAAGTCATACTACAATCTTATCTTATCTCTATCCCCAACTCCCCCAGGCGACCCCCTTCACCCCCGCATCGGCGACCTCCGCCACCTTCCCATCTATAAAACAATACCCCCCTACACAAACCACAACCACCATCACTAATACCCACAAATTACAAGCCTCACATCCCACTCAAACCCACTCCTATTCCCAAAACCAAACCACAAACCAAAATGCTCCTCACCAACGCCACAATCCTTACCCTCTCCCCGACCCGTACAATCCTCACCAACGGCGCCCTCCGCACGCAATCCAGCTACATAACCGACATCGACAAAACCCCCATCCTACTAGCCAAATACCCCGACGAAGAATTAATCGACCTCACCGGCCACATCCTCATCCCCGGGCTGATCTCCACACACATGCACACCGCCCAGACCCTCCTCCGCGGCTGCGCAGATGACCTCGAGCTGGTATCCTGGCTGTGCGAGCGCATCTGGGTCTTACAGGGTAATTTCACTCCCCAGGATGGGTACGCCGCTGCGAGGTTGAGTATTGCGGAGATGTTGAAAAGTGGGACGACGTGTTTTTTGGAGAGTATGGTGTGTTTCTCATTTCATTTAATTTTTCTGTTGGGTTTGTGGTTTTTGGAGAGGGAGAGAGATGCTAATTACTCATATTTGGGAGGGGGGATATAGTTCGCAGACAGGTATGGGTTTGATGGGCTATGTCGCGCCGTCGAGGAGAGCGGGATTCGAGGCTGCTTGGGCAAGATCGTCATGGATACTGGCCGGTATGCGAAAGATGATGCGTGGGCGATGCATCCGGGGTTGATTGAGGATCGGGAGACTTCGTTGCTAGGTACGATGAAGATGTGGGAGAAGTGGAATGGGAAGGCGGATGATCGGATTAGGGTTTGGTTTGGGGCGAGGACGCCGGGGGGGTATATATTTCCCCCTTTCTATCTCTCTATTTTCCGGTGTCCATGGGGGAGATCTGGGTGGTGATGGATAAACTAACGATGTTATCAGTGTCTCTGCCTCCCTCTACAAAGAAATGACCGCCCTCTCAGCCAAACACAACATCCCCATCACCATGCACTGCGCCGAAGTCTCCGCAGACCGGGACTTCTTCTCCTCCGTCGACCACACCCCCATGACGTACTGCGACAGCGTCGGCCTGCTCTCCCCATCTACAGTACTGGTGCACATGGTCCACCTCGACGACGGGGACATCTCCCTTCTAGCCAAGTCCGGGACGCACGTCGCGCACTGCCCCACCTCCAATGCAAAGCTCGCGTCCGGGACATGTCGTGTGCCGGATCTGCAGCGTGCTGGGGTGAATATCGGGCTAGGGACGGATGGTGCGCCGTGCAATAACACCTGCGACATGTTGCAGGAGATGAAGCTGGCGGGGATTATCCATAAGGGAGTGAGTGGGAATCCTACGGTTGTGAGTGCAGAAGAAGTGCTGGAAATGGCGACGATTAATGGGGCCAAGGCGCTGGGGTTGCAAGATAGTATTGGGAGCTTGGAGGTGGGGAAGAAGGCGGATATTGTGGCGATTGATGCCAGGGGCGTGGAGATGCAGCCGTGGTTCAATCCGGTTAGTGCGGTGGTATATACGGCTACGGGGAGGGATGTGAGGTTTGTGATGGTGGATGGGAGGGTTGTGGTTAGGGAGGGCGAGTTGGTGACGATGGATGAGGGGGAGGTGGTCAGGGAGGCGGAGAGGCGGAGTAGGGAGGTCGTGGAGAGGGCTGGGTTGGGGGGGAAGGTGGGTGCGAGGTGGCCGGTTGTGTGAGGTATAATTGCATTAGATCCTTAAATACAGATATTTGATTAAAGCTTTGGTAACCACAGAGTCTGCGAGTTGCACCATCCTGTCAGTCCGTTCAATCCCCACTCGACTCCCAGGCCGCTCTTCTTGTGTCCTCCGAATGGTACGGATGGTGCACATTCGAAGTGCGAGTTCACCCAGACTGTGCCCGCCTCCAGCTGATCTGCCATGCGTCGTGCGCGCTGCAGGTCCCGGCTCCAGACAGATGCCCCTAGGCCGTAATCGGTGTTGTTGGCGCGCGCAAGCACGTCCGTCTCGTCGGACCATTTGAGAAGCGGCAGGATTGGAGCGAATGGCTCCTCCTGGACGACGCGGGATGTCGCAGGCGGGTTGTCGACGATTGTTGGAGTGATGAAGTAGCCAGTTCGGTCTGGGATGGAATTGCTGCAGAGGGTGCTGAAACCGCTGGAATGGATGTTGTTAAGAAGATCGGTGGCTTTGTCGTATTGCATTTTGTTTTGCAGAGGCCCAATAAATACATCCGGCTGGGTCCCCTCGCCCATCTTCAGGCTTTGAACATGCTGGACAAGTTTGTCGCGGAACTCATCGTAGATCTTCTCGTGCACGTACAGGCGCTTGATCATCATGCAGATCTGACTGGAGCATAGGAAGGAGAGAAAGGCAATCTATACGATTAGTAGAGCTAAAGGAGCGTAGATGATGCGACATACCTGGGGAACTATAGCATCAATGTCCACATCCTCGCAGACAATGCAGGGGTCATTCCCGCCCAATTCCAGTGTCACTTTCTTCAATGTCTTGGCACAACTAGCCATGACACGCTGACCCGTAGCTATTGAACCCGTGAAGCTAATCTTCTGAATGCCCGGGTGCTCGGTAATCATCGGCCCCAAATCATCACCCCCACTAAGCGCCTGCACCACGCCCGGCGGAAAGCATTGGGCTGCCAGTTCTGCCAGCTTTAAATCACAGTATGGCGTGTATGGGGAGGGCTTGACGATAATAGTGTTACCCGTGTATACAGCCGGGACAATTTTGCCGATAGCCAACAGTACGGGAAAGTTCCAGGGCACAATAGCGGCGGACACACCGATGGGAGTATAGCGCTGAATGACTTCGCGGTCTTCTGTCTCACTGACAACCGTCTTGGGGATGGCAATGGTACTGAGCGAACGGGTCCACTGAATGGCCATGTCCAGCTCGGTCGATGCCTGGCTCAGGGATTTGCCCTGCTCGCGGGACAAAAGTGCCGCCAATCCTTCTTTATTGGCCGCGATGAGATCAGCATAGGAATGGATGACAGTGCGACGCTCGTCAAACGAGGTCCGTGACCATTGACGAAACGCTCGGCTGGCAGCATCCACTGCGCGATCGAGATCTTCTGCCGTCGAGACTGGCACCTCGGGGTTGGGCTGGCAGTTGGCCGGGTTAATTCCATGACGGGTTTGCGTCGTGGATGTCAATTCGTTGTCGATAACATTATGAAAGGTCTGGCCTGTTAGATCGGATGCAGACGGGAGAACTGTTAATTAATCACTCACTGTAAAATCCAAAGCCATGATGTCTACAAGTTGCGATTAACTATGGTGATGGAAATGACAGAAAGCAGACAAAAGATAGAGGGCATGACGGGACTATATAGGAACACCGTCGCAATGGCCTACGAGTGATGAAATAATCTAGCCATACGATAGTCGGCCAAAGCCGTTGTTTTGAACTCTATATGCTGGCCGCATTCAGCCAGGTTGCTGACATTCCCCGCACCGTGAAATCTAGTTTGTCATTGCGGTGCGCATGGGAACTGTTTAGCTCCGACAGTGAGTGGATGCCAGATTGATCGTCGGACGCCTGAATTGCCGTCTTTGTCTCACCTTCCAATCACGTTGACCTGCAGCATGCCGCCTTGACAAGCGTCACACAGCTG